TAGGTTTATAAAAACAACAACAACAACAAAAAAGACAGAAACAGGACTTCTGCTCCTTACTTGATTACAATCTGTTGTTTTCTTGGAAAACAAATGTGGAGCTCTCTACACAGAATTTGGAACAACTCACACCTACTTTGAATACAAGGAAGTAAATTACCAGGCAAGTTGTTAGAATATACAGTACTGTTGTTTTTGGACAGCTTTGAATAGAGGTAGGGGAGCCAGAATACCTGAAGCTGGCAGATCATCTAATAACCATTAGATGAACCAATAAAAGGAGGCTTTCATATTATCTTGGGATTAAAACTTTCACCATCTCGATGCCCTGTTTGTTCTAAAACACTACCAAATACCATAAATGGGAGGGTGGTATGCCAATAGCTCATACTATTTGGTGCCAGGCAAGTTAAAACAGACAAAATGAAAACCAAGAGCTAATACAAAGTACTTCCAAAATGAATGCTGCTGAAAAATTGAGATTTCATTTCTGAGGAACATGTTTATCAACTCGGGTTAAGAAAATTTTCAACATGATAATCATCTCTTGTTAGGGAGATTTTCTACTCTTGGCAACCTAGGCACATTTGCTCTAAAGATGACAAAGGGCTTGTCATGGGTGACATGAAACAAAAGCAGTAAAGGGACTGATACATTTTCCACAAGTATGCAAACAGTATAGGGACTTTTTAAACTCTGAGGACTAAACAGAAATTAAGAGAACATCACCAGCAGACCATAACACAAAATTAGAAGTCAATCTAAAGATCCAGTCAAAACTCCCGGTAATTTATGGGTTGAATACTTAATGAAATTAACAAAATATTTTTTAGATCTAAACTGCACAGATGTACATACTAAAACTTGCAAAAAGTAGCTGAAGTGGTCCTTTAGGGAAAAAGGATGAAGATTAACAAACTGAGCAGTTGACTCAATAACTTAAAAAAATAAAAAGAAAGAAAGAAAAAATTTAAAACTCTCTGAAAACTAACGACATTGAAAATAACGTAAGCAACAAAACAAAAAAGGTGAGCATTGAAAAATAGTGACTTCCAAACTCTGGTCTGATTACTCCAGGAAAAAATAAAAATTAGCTATATTAGGAATAAAACTTGGAACAAAACTACAGATAAAATAGTTTTAACTGTGGGCCAGGGATTTAGCTCAGTGGTTCCGGCACCTGCCAGGCAAGGCCAAGGTCCCGAGTTCGATCCCCTCCCAGTACCAAAAAAAAAAAAAGTTTTAATTGGTCATGATGGCACATGCTTGTAATTCCAGCTACTTGGGAGGCTGAGACAAGAAGATCACAAATCAAGGCCAGCCTGGGCAACTTAGCAAGAGCTTATCTCAAAATTTAAAAAATAAAAGAAGGACTGGTGATGTAGCTCAGTACTCCCTAAGTTCAATCAGTAGTACTGCCAAAATAAAAAAAATAGATTTAGAAGAATAAAATGTAATATATACATACAACCAACATGAAACAAGGGAGTCTAGAAAAATGCAAGTTGCAGAATTCCTAAGAGGTATTATAAATATTTAAAGCATACAGAGCAATAATATTTTCGGAAACACAAATGTACTAGAAGTACAAATATGGATGAGAAAATTACTCTTCTGGTCAGGGATGAGAGTGAAATCAGAAAAGAGTACAAAAAAAGGCTTAAATAGTAGCATGCATATAGTGCATATATGTGTTAACCCTGGGTGGGAGGCCTGTGAGTGTTTCATTAGGTGCTGTGCTTTTCTATGCTTGAAATAGTGTGACAAAGGAAGTGATGAACTACAGTCATCCGCCCATATTCAAGGCTTCCATGTTCTCCAGTCAACAGAAGGTGGAAAATAGTAAGAAAAAAAAAATTGACTTTCTTGTCATTATTCCCTAAAAAATACAGTATAAAAGCCTTTTATATAGTGTTTACATTGTATTAGGTTTATGTAATTGAGAGAAGATTTAAAATATCCTGAAGGAGCCTGGAATGGTGGTGCACACCTGTATTCCCAACACTTGAGAGGCTGAGGCAGGAGGACGGCTGTGAGTTCAAGGCCAGCCTGAACAACACAGTGAAACTGTCTCAAAAAAAAAAAAAAAAAAACCATAGTACAGGATGTGTGCAGGTTATATTTAAGTACTATGCAATTTTATAAGAGGAGCACGAAGCATCCTCAGTTTTTGGTATTTATTCTTGAAGGTCCTGGACCTAATTCCCTTTGAATACTGAGGGCCAACTGTATGGAAACTTGTTCAGTTCTTTTCCCAGCTCTCTTTCAGCAAAATATGTTCCTCTCACCCCACAGCAGTGTCAGCGGCATCTAGGAACTTGTGGAAATGTAAATCCTCAGGCCATGCCCAGACCCACAGAACCAGAGGCTGAGATGGGGCCTGCAACTATGGGTTAGCAAGTCCCGTGGAAGGCTCTGATCCACACTACTGTTTGAGCACCACTGTCTTCAAATACTGTTTCTCAAAACTTCAGACTGGGAATCTTCCTATCTCCCTATCACCTGGGATGTTTGTCAAATATGTAGAACCTAATACAATAGGTCTGGGACAGCTCTTCCAGGAATCCACACTTGTGCATGCTAAAAGTTAAAACCATTGTTTTTAAAGCACATTCAGCTTTTAGTGGCTGCTGTTAGCCACTCACATCTTTAGCAAATACTAAAGTGAGGAAGAAATGCCTCATTCTGCTCCACAATCCCCTTGTTTGCTGTGTTTCAGCCCCACTCTGAAGGATACGTTCAGCAATATGCACATATAATTTAACCATTTCATGTACCTCTTTGTTCTAATAACTAAGCCCCATGTATCAGCCACCTTCCAAAGACGTGAGACAAGAGATCTGTCCTCCTTTATTCACAGTGTCACTTACTGGGGATTCATTTACCAGCAGCCAATCCGTGTTCAAAAACATTAAATGCAAAATTCTAGAAATATAAACAAGTTTTAACACCATTCTGGTAGGGTGATGAAACCTCAGTCCATCCTGTCCAGTGTTTGTGAATTATCCCCTTGTCCAGGGTATCCACACTACATACACTACACACCTTCTCATTTAGTAGCCACCTCAGACATCATGCCAACTGTCCCTGTATCCTTTGTATCCCCAGTACCCCCATCTGCGTTCAAGTGACCCCTATTTTACTTAATAATGGCCCCAAAGCACAAACATAGTGATGCAAAGGAGGCACCAAGCATGAAACACAAAGGACAGGCCAACTCCCAGTGTGGCAACACTGCAAGGGACATGGGAGGGGGCACAGAGAACATTGTAGATAGGGTGATCACTGGGGAATCACTCCCAGAGACTCAAAGAGGGAAAACTGTACTTTTCATTTTATATCTTTAAACTGTCAGAAATGTTTGTTATATATTTTCATATACTTTCATATTTCAAACTTTATTTTGATTCTAAGATGTCCTCTGTGAGTAAACAATGCTGAAATTGGAGTGTTTGTTACAATCACTGGTATGTCCCAGTTTTATGGAAACGTTTTTTTTTTCTTGCTCAAGTTAAAAGGATGGATCTTTCTGCAGTATGGGAGTCAAACCCACACCCTCAGGAATGTTAGGCAAGCACTGGGTGCTGAGCTACAAGCCCCAGCCTGTTTGATTTCATTTTGAGACAGGTCTGGCTAACTTGCTCAGGCTGGCCTCCAATTTGCAGTCCTCCTGCCTCAGCCTCCCAAATAGCTAGGATTACAGGCGTGCACCACTACATCTGGCTAACAATGATAAATCAATGGCATTTTAGGAGTAATGAAAAATAAGTTATGGACTGGGGATTTAGCTCAGTGGTTCCAGCGCCTGCCTTGCAAGCACAAGGTCCCAAGTTCGATCCCCGGTACCAAAAATAAAGAAAAGAAAAATAAGTTATAAGTTAATAGTGTGTGCAGAAATAATTTTAACGGTTCGCACATACTCGTGGATATCTTTTCCTAAGAGAACTGAACTGGGAAAGATCTTAAATAGCATTATGTAGCTGAGTAGTTTCGTAAGTTATTGAGCAACTTCTGTGAATAGCAAGGCACTCAGCTATGAAGGTGATGGGGGAATGCAGAGAAGGAGGTGTTTTCTCTCCTGGCAAAGTGATGCTTTTTCCACTGGTGGAAGAGCCGAGACTCTAGTTGGGGAATTATACTCTTTATGCAAAATTCTCTTTTCCAAAGCCTTAGTTAGAAGCCTGCCCAGTGACTGTCGGGGCAGCCTTCGCCATGGCCTGCAGAACAGCCTGGCCCATCAGCGCCCCGCGTGAAAGGCTCGGAGTTTGTGGCTGAACTTTCCTATAAACAGCCGATCAGAAGGTCCCATTTCTGTTGGGGTCCAAGAGCCACGCTCCCCAGAAACTCCAAGCAAAGCAAAGCAACGCTTCCATCCACAGAGCCTGAGCCGCGAAGTCCCCTGGGAACCTCTTAGCGCTGCTCAGTGTCCCCTCCTGGAGGCTCGACTTCAGCCAGACTTATAGCTTCCAAAGCTCCCCGGGCGCGTCGCCTTCAGGGTCTCACCCCGGGTCAGCGCAGTGACAGCTCGGGCCGACCCGGGCGATAGGAGTTGGGGGCGCGCGGGACTCCCGCGGGTGGCGGCTGGGAGTCCCTACTATGAATCCTCTAACTTAGAGAAATAAAGAGAAACGGGGTTTAAATGCCAAGAACTCTGTCCAAACATTCGGACAGCCCCGTCGCCACTGCACACACTTTTAAATCCATTTTCTCTACATCGTGGGAACTGACACCGAGCTTCCCAACCGAGCGCGGTAGGAGGCTCGAGGTCCCGCTGGGGCCCGGGCGCATCCCGGACGGGATGGGCGCCGTGGGCACAGACAGCCTGGGCGCAGCTCGGGGACAAAGCGCCGGGTCGCCCAGGGCGCGGGGCGCACATGCGTGGTGGCGGCGGCGGCCGCGGGGGGGCGCACGACCTGCGCGCCCCGGGAGTCCCCACCGCGCCCCCGCCTTGTCCGCGCCCCCGCCGTGTCCCCGCCCTTCGAGCAACCCGCGGCCACACTGACGCCGCCCGCGGGACTCCCGGCAGCCTCCTCCTGCCTGCGGCGCCGAGCAGGCCGGCCCGGCGAGCGGAACCCCGCGCCGCGCGGGGACCATGGGGGCGCGGCGCCTGTTGTTCCTCGCCGCCGGCCTCAGCCTGTGCTACGCGCTGCCGGCGAGCGCCCAGGCCCGCGAGCCAGGTGAGGTCGGGGACAGAAGGGCACGAGGGGCCGTGGGGTCCGGGTGGCCTGGAGGTGGCCCCACCTCGGTGGCCCCAGAAGCCACGCAGGGTTCGGGCCGAGCCACCGAGCACCCTCGCGGGCCGCGCGGTGCCCCTTGGACTCGGCGCCCGCCTGCCCCGGCGGCTGGGTGGGTGGGCTTCGGAGCTCATGTGACCCGCGTCGCGCAGGGCCGTCCCCCGAAAGAAGGGGTCTCACGTTGCTCCACCAGCAAACAGCCAGGTCTGCCCCCCATGGGGTACAGGGCCGCTTCCGCTAAGCTGTGCTTTGTTGGGTTTTCTTGTTCTTGTACATTTTACAGGGGACCCGCAGACCCTAGCGCGGTCTGGTTCCCTGGAGGGGCTGGGCGCGGGATGCGCGGTGGTAACAGTGTCTCCACCGGGTGCTGGAGAGGGTCCCGCTTTGTTAGTTCACAGGAACCCACTCCTGGGGCCTTGGAAGGAGACCCCTCCCCGGGGCCAGGCTCCCTCAGGCTATCCGGGAGACTGGTCTGCCCTTCTTAGCGAAGTCTTTCTTCCAGTGAGAGGAGTCTGGCCGATAGTGTGTTTTTGAGTATCTGGCTGCTAAGTAAACAGCGTTGGCCCATCTGTTTGGTCAAATATTATCCATTCACCTTCCTCGAAAGCGAGCAGATGGAGTTTTTAATTAGAAAGGGAGAAAAATGTATTTTAAAATTTTTTAATAACAAGATTACTTTAGTAACTTTTAGCCATTTTTTTCTGCAGATTTTCTTCTTATCAGTGAAAAAATGTGTGCTCTGTTTTACTCCCACACATCCAGATTAAGAGGTGACAAAGACATAGCTCGTTCATTGCTCGGCCTCTTTGTTCAGGGTGAGTTCGAGGAGATGCTTTTGGTTTTGGGAAGCTCAGGGCTCCGAGTCCAGCAGCATTAACAACCCATTGCCGCCAGTGCTGTCTGGAGGGTATGTGGAGAACAGAAAAGTTGTGGTGGTACATGAGTTCATGTGGCATTGTGTGACTGCTCAGTTTCATTTGGGGGACAGTGCTTAAGAATATGAATTTTTGTCTAAGATTTGGTAGTGAGGCGAAGGAGGGGTGTACACAGATGCCACGGTCACATAGCCACCCTTGCTCACAGTAACCCCAGGGAGCTATTGGGCTCCCTGTAGGAAGTGAAGTTAATGTAAAAGCTGTTGTTTTCTGCCCCGCTTTTTCCTTCTTCACGGAAGGGCTGGTGCATGCTAAGACGGACAGAAAGGCAACTGACCAAACACTGGCTTATTTGTCCACACTGTATTCAGAAGCCACTTTGGGAGGGAGAAAAGGGAGTGTGTGTTAAGTGCAGTATTCTGTGTCAAGCCCTGGGCTGGAGTGATTACCACATGGATGGTCTCATTTCACCCTCTCAAAAGGCCCCATAAGGTGGAGGGGTTCATCACCTTTGCTAGTTCTGAAACTAAGGCCCAGGGACCACAGCATGCAAAATGCGGGAAGGGGCCATGAGAATGGCCCGCCCACATGACTGGCAGGCAATAAGTAGAGCCTTGTCTTTAGAGAGTTTTAAATCACTAATCAAAGAAAGCAGGTCTGCTTTCTCTGATCGCCCTGCACTGGCAGTTCGGAACAGTATATCCGGGTGTGCGGGTGCTGGGATGGTCCCTCTGTCACCACTGCATTCCCAGCCCTCACGTGGCCTTGCTTGGCTCTGACCCTGACCTGTGCTTTTCTGAAGCACTTTCAGACTTCCTGCCTTGTCATTTTGTGGGTATCTCCCCTCACCAGCCAAGATTATAAACTTCTACTTATTCCCCATGGCATCTGGAACAGGTGTTCACTCTGCATACATTTATTGAGGAACTAGCAAGCGCATTCATTAATTAAATTGCATTCCTTTGACCCAGAAATTTAAGTGAGATGACTTAATATTCATTAAAGAGGGCCAGTGTTCAAGAGCAACAGGTGATGAGTATAGATTTTATAGGGACCTAGAGGATGAGAGGGCTCAAGAAGAGTTGGTGGTGACTGTGGTGGAGCCCACTGGGTGAGGGATCCCACACAGGGCCCTCCTGCCCCCAGGGTCAAGCCCAGCTCCTTAGCAAGGAACAAGGGGCCAAGGAGCAAAGGGTCCCTGGCCTCTTTCCAGCACCCCATCACACCTCCCCTGTTTTTCCTCAGCTCCGCCTTCTACTTCTCCCCTAAGGAGTTTGCTTTCTCTGGTTTCTGTACCCGTGTCACTCCCTCTGCCCAGAATGAACTCCATGTCCCTCATACAGTCCCATTTAATTAGAACCTGCTACCCTATATGGAGCGCTTGTCACAGCTGGCAGCTGCCTGGACACATTACGTAGATTCCCTTCCTTACTGCTCACACCTGCTTTTTGGGTAGATGTCATCCCCTTACAGGTGAGGACACTGAAACCCAGAATTGGTAAGTCACAAGTGTCATAAGAGGTGGAATTGTAACTTGACCACAGGTCAGTCTTTCCTAAATGGAAGCTTTCTCTCCCACTCTTGTAGAGAGGGAGCCACCTTGATCCCCTGAAGTCCCCCACTGTGCTCTCTAGGACCTGAGGAGAGCAGAGTCTGCACCCCATCAGCCAAATGCACCAGACCAGGACAGAGAAGACAGTCATCTGGTAAATCTTCCCACAAGGACTGCTGTTCTGCTTTCACTTTGGCTAACAGATGATAAGGAAGCTGTTAATAGACCCTTATTCTTTTTTTTTCTTTTTTTGACAAGGTAGTCCTGGAACTCACTATGTAGTTCGTGCTGGGCTTAAACTCAGTGACCCTCCTGCCTCAGCCTCCCTGTTGGGAGAATTCCAAGAGACAGGAGAGACGAATGGGAATCAGAAGGACTTTATTTCAGGTTTTAGGGAAACACTGGCTTAACAGACTCCTGTCCAAAGGAAGAGCCATGAACAAAGAAAAGCTTTTATACATTTGATGGGAGAGGAGTGGTCTTTCTAGTAATGTAGCAAGTGAGTTTAACAGAACAGGACAAAGGTAACTTTGTAATTTAGCCTGGTGAGAAGACAGAGCCTTGGGCTTGAGATTTAGCTCAGTGACACTGTGAATGCCTGGCAAGCACAAACGTCCTGAGTTTGATTCTTGGTACCAAAAAAAAAAAAGAAGACAGAGCCTTATAAATTGTATAAGTGCAGAGTGTCATAAACTTTGTTTACCGGACATAGTTGTTGATTTTATCTGTACCAGAACAAGGAGTTAAGCTATAGGGAGAGGGGGATGATCCAAGGTTGGAGGGAACTCCCCAAGGCTGGGAAGAACTTATTCTTCTTTAAATCCTGCTTCATTCCCCACTTTGATGCTTTCTATAACAAGTTTTAATAGAGAGCATCATCTTATCATCATTATTATCAATTTTTTCATCACAATTGGGTGCTCAGTATAACCTATTGAGCAGAGTTTGGTACTTGGTTAAGCCCATCAGTTGAGTGGTGGTGTGTCTGTCTATCAGAGTCTCAATGGCCAACTGAATGTTTTTCACAAGTAGGGGTAATAGACAAGGGAGAATTATAAAAAAGATGATAAGAAATTTATGTTGTTATTGTGATTCTATGTTGATCCACAAGCTTGGCCATGCATGGACTGGTCAGCTTCTGGAGTAACCAGAGGAGGGCTGCTGTTTCCTCAGGCTTCTGCTGTGTGTAGACGAGTCAGCTTCCAGGGTGACTAGAGTAGGAGTGTTTTTTCTGGTGACAGCCCAATCTCATTGCAGGATCAGCTGGTTTGAACGGTCTGAATCATGCTGGCTGGTCCACTTGGCTTGAGCTGTTTGCTTTAGCCAACTGTGGTAGCTCTAAGACACAGTTCCTCCAACTTTAACAGCAGTGAGGGTGGACAGGATTACAGTATGAGGCCCATCCTATTCCCATATGGGCCCCAGAATTGTTGGATTTTATTTTATTTTTTGACCCAAACAAAGTCTGTGGGCTTGAAGGAGTGTATTGGGCCGTTATAGTTATGGACATTTTTTCTTCTACCCAGCTATCAATATCTTGTAGGACTACTCTCAAAGCCTGTATTTGTCTTTTCAAGGTCAATTTTCCCTAGTTTACAAAGATCACCCTTAATTTATGATTGGGTGTTGCTGGCTGGACAAAATCACATGAGAATACCCAGTTTATTTGGTGGCGGTGCACCAGACTCAGAGGAGGACCATGGGCAGGACTTTATCCCATCTCAAATGGGTTTCTGAAAATATTTTTTAGCAGTTGTTTGATTGTCCAGTTTATATGTTCCACCTTTCCTGAGCTCTGTGTTCAGTAAGGTGTGTGAAGCTTTCGTTTTATCTTTAATATCGGTGTGAGCTCCTGGACTATCTCAGCTATGAATGCTGGTCCACTTTCTGACACTGTCAGGGTAGTCCAAATCTTGGGATGATGTCTTTTAACAGCACCTTGGTCACCTCTCGTGCCTTTTCTGTTTGGGTGGGGTAGGTCTCAACCCATCCTGAGAAGGTACAGACAAGCACCAATATATATTGATAGACACTGGCTCAACGCAATTTAGTAAAGTCCATAAGCAAGTTTTCACATGGGGAAGCTCCTGTTTCTTGGATACTTGGGGGCCAGGTGGGCCATTGTCTTGGGTTGTTTGGGGAACAGGTTAAGCATTGCTTACAAAAACAGCTCGACCAATGGCAGCAAGCCATGCACATAGAAATGTTGGCCCAGTAACATCTCTGGACCTGACTTTCCCGTATGAGACTCCTGATGGAATTGTCTTATGAACCCAGGCTCAACATTTTGGGGATGGCTAGCCACCCATCAGCAAACTTCCATCACTCCCCCTTTACATATTCTCTACTTTCTCTGGCAAACCAGGCTCTTTTATCTGAGGAGTAGCTCGGGGTCTCTGGGAGAGGAGGCTCCAGGATGAGGATCATGGCTAGGGCCCCTCTTTTTTGCGGGGAGGGAGTGATGCCATAGCAGCCTGCCTCACTTCTCTGTCTGCTTTTTGGTTTCCTGTGGTTTC